AATATGCAACCAAAACATATTAACAACGTTTAAAACCAGGATACAATTAAAACAAAAAAGTAGGACCGCTTTACAAATATTAATATAATATATAATATTCATGTGATTGGTTGTTGGTCGCGTTGCTCGCAAAAAATCCCCAAGCTTTCAGACACGCCCACCTCCAAGATTTTCAAGATTTTTTTAATCCAGACGAGAGAGGGTAATAATACACCCTGCGGCAAGGCAGGAAACATGTGATTTATCAGTAACTTTAGACATCGTAACACAATTTTAAACGAGATTTTATTGTAGATTATACATTTTACTGATACCAACTATATAATATTTACTATAAAATAAATAATAATAAATATATATATTTTTTAATTTTTAATTTTTAATGACAATCAAACATGTGGGAAGAGGGGGGGCCGCCCCTATGGGCTGGCCGCCACTGCATTAAATGTACTGTATCTGTCATTTTAAATTCAAAAGGAAGTTCATATTGCTTGCTTGTTGCAACGATTTCTGTTTGAGTTTAATCAAATAATAATAATAATTAAATATATTAACATTAAATTGTATACCCCGTTTATCTAGGCCCGTTTTGTTTTATGTATGTCACACTGCGAGAAACGGTATCTCGAGATTTCTGGATGTATAACACATGTAGTAATTTTGACAATAAAGCTGACTTTGACTTTTGAAACCAGAGCAGTCATCATCAGAGCCATGGAGGGTTTGTGTCATTTGTTTCTGATCATCCAGTCATAATCTATCTATAGACCTTACACAGATATGTGACTTATGAGACTGCCAGGACTGTAGCATTGCTCGGCTCAGCTCAAGGCTGAAAGTTACACCCTGCTTCTTTGTTCAAGAAACAGCTCTGCACTAGATGTGTTCAATACAAAAGAAAATAGATAGAATAGATTTTTCTCCCACAAGCTGGGGCAGCAGGTGTTGTAGAGGAACTCATCACTGGATAATAATGTGATCCAGTGGGAGCTGGGGTTATACGGTGTTGATTCTCCCGCTTATACATGTGTTTCTTTCCCTCACAGCCTCTAGCAAATGAAACCAACCTGCTGCCAGAGGAGATGATTAACTCCTCCCTGTATAAAGACCCAGTGGATCCAGCCAAATGGTTTGGAATCAGGAAAGATGCGACTGTTCTGGGATACAGCAAGGTATGTTCAAGACATCCCGCTGTTTCTGGAAACAGGATGAGTAAATGTGCTGTTTTTAGTGTATGTTTTGAGCTGGACCGAAGAAAAACTATTCCTCTTTGACAAACACATGTACACATTTTAACACCTTATTAATAAGCTAACGTTAGGATAGAAAAAGGTGATCATAATCACAGGGTTGCATTACAACCGCTAAGCTACAAGGCTACAAGCTAACGATGATGTTTAGTCATCTCATTCAGCTACTTGTTAGCAACTGCTGTTTTTAAGACAGAAAGAAGCTCTGGACATTCACCAGTGGGTTATCTACTGAAGTATTTCATGTCTCATTCAAAAACGTGAATATCTCTTCAGCGTGTGTTAACCAAATACCTTATTTCATGCATCTAACAATAAGTCAAAGTCAACTTTATTGTCAATCTTTCAGTTTGAGTAAAGACTCGTGTAATCACGTACAAAAATCCACTGACTTTAAGACGTTTGAACCAGTATTGCTAATGTGCTAAATCGTTTTGGGTTTTCCTTCACTTATCTTTTGAACTCAGGATTGAGTTGGTGTCCTGACTGATTTGTATTTTCTCTTTTGCAGAACCATCTGATAGTGCTGATGTTGTTGGTGTTTGAGGCCACAGTGTATCGTCACCAGGCCCATCACTACCGTCAGCTCCAGCGCTCCCCCCCCACCGTCACCGCTCTGTTCCCCTCCGCCACCAGGGACACTCTGGACCAGGGCCTCCTCCCCTGCCTCAAGTACCTGCTCAACTACACCTTCTACAAGTTTGGATTAGAGGTAAAGTGTAGCTGCTCGAGATCACTTCCTTGCTTTACCAGGGTTTTTTCGAAATAATAAAAAAAAAAGACAGTAAATAAAGGAAACAACACTAAAATATTTCCAAACATTACAGTTTTATCTGCAAAAAAAATAATAAGTAGTAAAATAACAATGATCTCTTTTGAAAGATCTGCTTCCTGATGACGGTGAATGTGATTGGCCAGCGGATGAACTTCCTGGTGATAATCCACGGCTGCTGGTTGGTAGCCATCTTGGTGAGGCGGCGGCGGGCAGCCATGGCCAGGATCTGGCCCAAATACTGCCTCTTCCTGTCCATCTTCATGATCTACCAGTACCTGCTGTGTGTGGGCATCCCACCTGCCATCTGTATGGGTGAGTCCATGTCCAGATAAGAGCTTCTACAATACACAACAACAGTGTCTTATTATAATAATCGGTTTGCGAATAACGAGATATTATATATTATAATATGCCCAGTTTTCCTGCACCCAATGTGCCCTGTGGTCCCAGTCTATTCCCCATACGATCTAATGGTAACCAGTACAGTATATTAAATATGTTTTATTTGCAAAGTTTGTGGATAGCTAAAGTCCTGACCCACCTATTGGATTATCTCTGCTCCACTAGCTTTTTCCCAGAGGGAGTGTTTCATCTGTGAAATATCCTTCTGGGGCATTATGCTTATTGCATGAAAATTCTTGTCTGTCCCTTTTGTAGATAAATATGTTTAAGCTCCCGGTCCCTATCTCCCAAAAATACCCACAAAGCTGTTCTTGGTTTAGAGCGGGGGTTCCCAACCTTTATTGTGCCAAGGACCGGCAGATACAATAAAAGAAATGTGCGGACCGGTTGTCAATTTTAGCTGATTTTAATATTTATTCACCAGCAGGTGGCAACAGAGGCTAATTGTATTTAACAGCCGGAAGAAATACCAATATGCATCCAAAACATATTAATAACGTTTAAAACCAGGATACAATTAAAACAAAAAATTAGGACCGCTTTACAAATATTAATATAATATATAATATAGCCTAATATAGGTGGCAACAGTGGCTAATTGTATGTAACAGCCTGAACAAATAATAGAACAATATGCATCCAAAACATATTTAACGTTTAAAACCAGGATACAATTAAAACAAAAAATTAGGACCGCTTTACAAATATTAATATAATATATAATAT